TTTTTTTAAAAGGCTCACTGATTTGTTAGAAGTAATGTGAGATACTTTAAAAGTATCTGTGGGTAAGGTTCATTCTTTCTTTTTCAAGTCGATCTAATTGGCAGAAAATATGAGAATGCACAGCAGACACACACACACACAAACATATGTATAAGACTTTATGATTTATTCACATATTGTCAGTGAATGCAAGACCAACAACGCCAACGACTATCAGCTCTGGTGTTTGTTCAGATTTTTATACATCAAAGTTCAATGCTTCCAAAAATGAGTAAGTAGCCACATTTCAATGATACTTTCAGATTATTGACTGTAGATTACAGGTTATGGGATTAAAAAAATAACTAATGATAAACATTTTCAACTAATCCTTATTCTTTATCTTTAGTTAGTCTACCAGAGTTCATTTAAACCAGAATTCTTCTATAGTGATTATGCATGTAAAAATACATGAAAAGGAAAACATCTCTCAATCATTGTGTGAAGTATTGGAAATAAATCTTAACAGCTAATCATTATAATTCTAAATTTGATGTTGATCTTTATAATTGCACATTCAATGTACACAGAACAATTGATGGACAAAAACAGCAAAAACATTACACCCACTCCCTTAACAATAATATAAAATGTAACAATATTGTGAAAGATTTTTCATGATTTCACCCAAAAGCAGACAGTAAAACTAAGTGGTCACACATTTTAAAGCAAACCCAGAAACCCTTATACTTGATACTTGAAAGGGAAAACATCTCTCAATCATTGTGTGAAATAATCAGTAAATGTGTTACAAATGATGTCTAGTTTTCTAATTCATCTGATTATCTCATTAGCAGATTTCAGTACACAAAGGCAATTTTAGGCAGGTCACAATTCTGAATGCAGCTCATCCAGGAAATTGATCAGCTTCTCGTATTTGTTGTGGACCTCTTCAATACGATCTATTTCTCTGCCAAACTCCTCGGTTTTCGAGTCGGCGTAAACCTTGGTTTTCTCCAAGAGGGCCTTTGTCTTCTTTAGAAGAGGGTTCACTAGGAGATAGTCATCAGGAAATTCGTTTTTCGCCATTGCCATATACGTGTCAATGAGGTCAATGTATTCACCCAAAAGGTCAGAATTTGCCAAAATTTCCGGCATTTGGACAGCCTGGTGGGGAAAAACGTTTTAAAATGACACTTTTGTACAATGCTTTTTCAAACAGTACTATGTACGGCAGTGCACATACTTTGTAGAAAAAACTAGGCAAGAAAAGAAAGATGCCAAATGATAATGTAGACTATTAGTTAGTTATTATCAATTTGCGCTTGGAGAAATGAAATTCCATAAAGGTTTAACTTGCATGCAAGAAGTCATATGCATAAAGTTTTTGTAAACAGTCTATATCTCTGAATATGTCAGCAGGAGACCCTGAGTGAACTGATTCCATCACCGTAAAGTAATGCAGAGACCTTGCTTTCCATGCAGGTAAATTATTCAAATATTTACACTCACCTTTAGTTTTTCCAATTGTTGCTTCACCTTCTCATGACTTTCCTTGAGTTTAGTCTGTAAATCCACAATAAAAAGCATTAATTACATTAACAGGCATGTAAACCTATTGCAATAAAGAAAAATCATGTTAGAATAATTTTTCAATGAGTGTTAGCTCTTGTATGCATTACAAGGTACACAACAATTGGTTTACCAGCTGCTCATTATCAATCAGGGAATGTGCAATCCAGATGAGACTCAGCAGAGTGAAAATGAAAAATAGGCCTTTGGGGTTTGTGACACCAGCCACTCCTCCACTTCTGATCCACGCTGCTGCTGCCATTTTGCTGTTCTCAATAAAAAGTGGAGAAAAAGCTAAATCCTCTGCTACAGAAGCGTCAAGTTTCAAGAAGTTAGCAGGAACATTGATATATCTGATGGAAATAATTGAATATTTACCTGTGATTTGCAGTGCTCTTTAAAAGAAATAGTGGCGATATGACACACCACTGTGTGCTTTTATATTCTTCCAAAGTCCCCTCCCCGGAGGCTCTGAGTAAACTGGATGTGTGTGTTTTTTTTAATCATTGTTTGCATTAGTTAAATTTATTTGCATCTCACAATATCTCCAGTTTCATATATGGAGAAACAGTGTTTTACAGTTTCACTTTCGAGGCCAACGCCATTACATGAGGGTGTGTAAGCTTCACGGCAGAACTGTTTAACATGGAGGTTAGCTAAAACTCAGGGCAGTTTAATTTTCAGAGAAACTCTACAAACAAGATTTTGTGCTGTTAGATACATATTATGACACGGAAAGCAAAAATCCTGATAGATGAGGATGAAAGAGAAGCCTTACTAGTTCTGACATCAGCCACTTTTCTCCTTCAGAACC